AATAGCCCAAATAAATGTCATAAAATAATAATATTAACAATCATAATAACAATTTAAATAATGAAATTATATAACCTATCCCAATCCTGACATAGCTGCGTTTAAATAATAACTGAAGACGCTCCTTTAATGCATTCGCATGTTATGTTAAATTATTTTAAATTACACATCCCATCCATAACCAACCTTAAATCATACCTGAACTCTCTGTTTACCAGTTCCAAGTAAACTGTTTTGTGTGACATACTCATAAAATCTCTCTGGTTTTGAATATCTTTGTTCGTTATTGTTCTTAGCCCTGGCAATGTTTACCTATTTTGTATTATTATTATAATATTTCCTCTCCTGTTTTTCTTACGTTTATATTCTTTAGCTGTCAATATAATACTTCACGTCTATGGAAGAATGAGTTAATAAAGATAGAGAATGTGTAACATCATATTCATCAAAAGACGGTTTATGTGCAAGTAACCGCACCGGTCCGAGCAGGGAGCGAGCCGGTATGGGAGTCAAATGCTCCGAGGATGCTAAAGATTGCAGAACAACGTCTGTCGCTGGATCCGAGGAGTGAGATTTACGCGATCACCAGCTGGCTTCCGTTACATAAGGGCAAATATAGATGACTAAAACCTCATTTAATCATTTTACTCATACTTTTTATTATTTATAATGTCCAAGGCATTGCTATTAATATTAAATTCTACTTTTGTGCCTTTATTAGCTTTTTTCTCACCTGTTTACGGGGGTAAAAATCTTACATTATTCCATCTCTACCTGCTGGTGAAAGCTAGAGCAACTGGCGATCTTCAATCTGCAATCTATTGCTTCTCCTGCAGTTCCCGGATGTAATGTTGAATTTTAACAGTCGAATTTGAACCACTGAATTTATGGAAGCGAATATTTGAACTGAAATAAAATTAACTGAAATTACCCTTTGAATATTATACATCGTATTTTAAAGTGTATTGAATATTTTGTAAGTGAAATCTGAAAATTGAATATGAATTGTTGAAGTTTTAAGTATGAAAACGTGTTTGAAATATTTTTCATTGAAATATTCACAGCTTAAATAAACAGCTATGTTAAATTTCAGGACCTAAAAATACAAACCCTGGAATTCAAGTCATTAAAATGCAAGAACTTGTTAATACGGTGTATTATTTTTTTCAGTTTGTGCTATTTAACAAGCTTTTTAATTCAAGACTTTTGGCATTGATTTTGTTCCATATCATTACAAAATATAGGCTTGGTTAATTGTATGGTGGTCCTTTCACATGTTCCATGAGCACATGTGCAAAAACAGCAAAACACATTATAAGTGTGTATCTTAATAGCACACAGTGAACAGCATTTGTGTGTGGCTCAATCATCATTGCTGAAAGGCTCAAGACACTCTACATCACCTATATAAAATAACTGTTTGGAAACTTCCTGGTTCAATCATAACTTTGGTATAAGTGACTGGGTCCTTGCTTCATCAATGTCTGAGTTGCTGTCTGTCATTGTGCTGTGTTTATCTGACATTTGATGCTGAGAATTCTTCTGAACAGAACCAGATCATTTGCATTTAAAAGCACAGGCACAAAACAGCTAAAATTCCCTCTGACCTACGAATTGACATTTTCAACAGACAACTTTACAGAAACATGCTGGAGAGGAAACACCAAAGACTCATTTTACATTTTGTAAAAAAGTGCAAAATACGAGCAATTTAAAGCCAGTGTTTAAGTGTTTAACCTTTAACACCCAGTTCTGGCAGGAGAAGCTGCCTGCTGTATCTCATGATGTCATCATTGTTCAGCGATGTGTTTAATCTCAGTGGTGAAAGACTAGTTACTTTCTCCTGTAACTCTGGTAATGTTGAGTTTCCCTGCAAAAAAAGGAAACAAAGTACACTTTCACTTTTCAGACAAAAAAGTGCTCATTTTTATAAAAGGTCTTCTGTTTATGACCATAATCATCTGTAGCATCCATTGAGACTGGTGCATTTCTATTCATAAAGATGTAATGTCATACAAATACCATGCAAAAAAACACTTATGATGTGCAATACAACATTTTATGATATAGATTTTTTTTGACAAATTTAATAATTTTGGAGCTTTGGGTGCTGTCGCCTTTTCATAGTTATTTGCAATGCAACACTTATGCCAATAAAACATAGTTGAAACAATTCAACTATTTTGGAATAGTAAACATAATTTTCAAATAAGCAAATGCAGTGCTATAACACACTTTTACCTAGTATACTCACGATACCATTTGGACACATACCGTTTTTTAAATAAACCTCTTATACTCATCTTTAAAATCCATCAAGAATGACAAAAATGAAACAGTAATATTCTGAAATATTCATTCATTAATTTTCTTTCGCTAAGCCCCTAATTTATCAGGGGTTGCCACTACAGAATGAAACACCAACTATTCCGGCATATGTTCTATGCCCTTCTGCAGACTTCTTTACAAATATAAAAAATGGTAATGTGTCCACACTTTTGACAAGTACTGCACTGCTGTATGATAACAAAAAATTGGCTTGAATCATCATAGCTTTAGCTAGCTTAGAATTAGCATTTCTAATTTACCGGTTGGCTAGCTAGAGTATGAACGCATTTTGTTAATTGCTACTTGAACTTTATAACCATTTAAAAAATGTACAGTCAAGCCTGAAATTATTTATACCGTAGGGGTATTAATTTCTGGATTAACTGTATCTACTAAAGTACTTTTAAAACCTACTGTACTTGAATGCAGTCAAATGAGTCAAATGCAGAAATATGGCTACACTTTGCTAAGGGAAACCCATTTCTTTGATCATATGTTATGATGATTAAATATGGTTGTTTTATAACACAATTTATACTACAAGATTTATTTTTATTTATTTATTTTTTTTTGCGGAGGTTATAAATAGTTTGTTTATTTTCATAAAAGTTGAACATGACTGGAAAACAAGGTGACAGGATGGACAAAGGCTTTATTTAGGGAACTAAATATGGAGGAACATTTGAAAAACAACAGGTACAACAAGAAAAAAAAAAAAAAAAAAAATATATATATATATATATATATATATATATATATATATATATATATATATATATATATATATATATATATATATATATATATATACATTTTTTAATAAAAGATTTATTCTAACTATATACAATTACATTCCGTGTTATAAGCTATATAAATTATGAGGAAATTCCCAGCTTATATCCTTTAATTCTAATACCCATTAAAAGTTTTCAGCTTTGAACATTTCTAGACCTTTTTTGAGCTGTCCTATAATCTATTCTTTTAAACTTTTTTCATGTAAATATTAATAGCAGTATTGAAGATGAGAGTAAAAAACAGCATTTTTAAAAGTTATTTCACTGAAAAAGTTATATTATGTTATTAATTATTCACAAATTTAAATTTGTTTTAATTTATTCAAATTTGTATATTTTAGATAAAAACTGAGAGCTATCTCATCCTCTATAAACAACAAGTTTCCTGAGTTGATCAATGTCCATAAGACTTAAGTGGCTCAATTGGAATATTATCAAGCTATGAGTATACTTTGATGCACACATAAAAAAATATATATATATGACTCTATTCAACTTTATTTTGAGGATTTTCTTTTTCCTTTGGGCATCTTGGGACAATTACTGTCTATTTTGAGGTAAAGTTGGTTTTATATTCGTACATTATGTTAATTTTTGAACAGTAACTTCTGACACTACTTTGAATATTGGATTTGAGTAAAATTGCGTGCAAGTATGACCTTAAAACATTAGGCTCTTTGTATTGAAAGTGAACAATGTTGTACTTTGATAGTCGCTGGCTGCTTCTATGATTTCCCTATTTAAAATTGGCAAAAATTACATTCCTTAAGTTATATTAAGCAGAAAGTCTGAAACAGTGAATATAAAATTCCCTTTGCCACAATGCTGTTTATAGAGAATAAGGAATCTCTCGGATTTTATCTAAAACATCTTTGAAAAGAAATGAGGGTGAGCAATTAATATTTTTTTTTTATTATTATTATTTAGGGTTTACTAACCCTTTAGTATTTCATTTTTGAATCACAAAACAGACGTCTAAAAGAACACAGACTAAAATGTGATTTAATGTAATGTTATTATATTACATAAATATTTAAAAATATAATAATAAATAAATGAACGTAATTTAGACTGCAGACCTTTTCAATTTGATCAAGTTTCTTCTTTAAAGTTGCAACCTCTCGCTCTCTTTCCAACAGCTGTGATTTCAAACTTACAATTGTATCATCCATAACGAACAATTACCTCGATATCAAATTATTAAACGTATGATACAATAACGCCTAGAACTATGAGTGTAGGGACAAGAAAACACTGCACAACTGGAAATCACACTGCAGCAGACTTCCTGATTTCAACGTGTGTGCGCCCACGTGTCGAGCACGCATTACGTGACTACAACAGAACCACTTTTAAGACGCGCGCCACCAAGAGGTAATACATACTCAATGTTTTTTTATTATTATTTTAAAAATACTGTTGATTATTAAAGTACCCAGTAACCTGAAATATTAAAGATATCGAAACACAAATCAAATAATAGTATTATTGAGTAAATGCTGCTCTGTGTATTTTTTAAGGCGAAATACTCATCGATTTGAGTAAAAAAAAATGATATTATATGGCCATGGCTGGCGTTATTATTAAAAGCTGTAACTTGTGTGTGTTTTTTTTTTTTTGTGTGTGTGTTTGCAGATTATATAATAATTTTTTAAATATTTTTTAAGGTAAAAATCTCTTGCCAGCTAACAGCTGGCTCTTTGTTTCGAATTTGTTTCTATTTACTCATGAATATTTTTGTTTCTATTTACTCATGAATAAGCCTCGTTGACGTAACACGGTAACGTTCCTGTCCTGTTTAATAGTTAATATTCATGAGTCAAGCCAGCTGCGGAGCTCCCACAAATCAGTTTGCCGAGCGTCACAGACCGAAATTAATAATCATTATGGGTCCCTTCGCCGTAGTAAGATTAGAAAATTGGTCTCTCACATGATCGTGTGAGTTGTCTTGCGACAGGAGACCGTCGTGCGGACAGAGCGGAGGAGGAGATGGCAGAAATGAGCTTTAGTTCGAGGTTGTTGGCTCTTATTGGCATCTTGACAACACTGACGAGCTGCGATACTATTCCTTGGCAGGAGAAAAAGGTACTACCCTTTACACTGCTTATGCTTGCTTTTGTACTATTTATAAGCTTTTTTATGAGCAACAGTATAATTTCCATTCATTCATTTATTCCTTCGGCTTATAGTCCCTTATTTATCAGGGGTCGCCACAGCGGAATGAACCGCCGTTAGAATTGTATAACTGCCTATTTTTAGTCATAATTGAAATATTTTTCTTTATTTTTCTTGTGAATGTCTTTACATTTCTTAAGAATTCCATGAGGGATGTGTCTGTTTTAATGCATAATATATAGCAATATATAATGAAGTGTATTGTTTCAATCGCATATCCATTCATTCATTCATGTATTTATTTATTTGTTTGTTATCTTTTTATTTTAAATATTCATTAAAAGTGTGGAACTCATTACTTAAATTGCTATTGATTGCTTAAATTGCGAGTTTACTTAGCTTCATGGCTTTACAGGTAGGCTTAAACTGGTCTTTTGCATCATTAGACTTCAGTTCATGTTGCTCAGGCTGTCTTTCAATTGTCTGGTTGCTATGGGAGCAGGAGCCCTATCATTGATTCACCAGAGGATGTTAATATTTATGGATTGTCAAATCCTATTTAAAATGTTTTCAATCTGTAGTCAGTGGTATACTGTATTTATTATGCTATACTGTTTCATTAATATTTTCAGGAAGCATGTGATAATAAAACTAAAAATCTCAAATTAGACTGTAGAAAAATATACATTTATAATACAGTTATGCATTGTTTGTTTCAATGTTGTTTGCAACTTGATGCATATTTTGAATCTTAAAAATAAATGTTGTTCATCAACTGACTACACATTGTTTAAAACATCTAGTCTGTCAGATGTCTTTATTTGCTGTGTTTTTAATTAAAGTTACATTCATTAAAGGGATAGTTTACCCAAAATGGTTTACAACCAATTGAGAGTGAGTAAACACTGAGTAAATTTGGGTTCATTTGGGCTTATTTTTCATCCCTATAAATAACATATGCTGAATCAATAATCACAGCACACAAATGTTTGGACTTTGAAGCTAAACAAAATCACATGTAGTTGTCAACACAAGATCAATATCATGTTGAAAACAGATGTAGTTTGATTATGTGGCTTCTGTTAATATATCATTATTCAGAAAAGATAATACAATCAAAAGCTTTTTGACTATGTTATCTCCTCTGTGAAGTTCCTTCAGCTTGGTTTCCCTCTATTTAATGGCATTTCAGAAACCTTCTGTTGCCATGTAAAGTGAAGCTTGAACACATAATTATCCTTCTAGGCATATGCAGTGTATAATTTCCCTACAAGCAAGCCCATACTAGTAGTTTGCTTGCAGCATTTAGAGTATAATCATGTTTTTCTGACTGCCACAGCTGTCACAGAATAAGTCTACATATTTTGTAATTCTATTATGCTAAATTTCAGCCTCATTGTGAATCATTACGAGTAAAAGCATCACAATATGATTCATCATTAATAAAGAAGATAACAGATTAATTTAAAGGAATACATTTTAATTGTATTTAAAATCATAAGTGTCAAGTTGTTTTAATTAATAGAATGATTTGATGTATTCAACCGACAAACTAATCTTTTCCATTCTGAGAACTACAGTTATTATAATAATATAAATTATAATAATCTAAATGTATTACCTGGACTGTAACTTAACTTTAAAAAAGTTAATTGACACACAAGAAGGAAAACCATGCAAACATGGGGAGAGCATGCAAATTCGCACAGAATTGCTTCCTGGCCCAGCCTGGACTCAACCAGTGAGCTAACTACTGAACTACTCTGTGCCACTATTATTACCAAATTAATGTTATCTATTTTTTTGCCCGGACTGCCCCTTTTGAAAAAAAAAAACATTCATCATTCACCCGCCACAAGTTTTCTTCTGTTAAACACAGCATTTTATATTGAAGATTGTTTGGAAGCAGCAGCATTGGCTTACTTTTTTTTTTTTTTTTTTTTTGGTGTATTTTTACAATGGAAATCAGGTTACAGGTTTCCACATTTTTTAAAACTTGTTTTGTGTTCAACAGAAGAAAGCAACTCATACAGATTTGGGAAAAGTTTAGAGTTGTGTTTACTATGCCTGTTATAGGTACATATAAGTACATAATGTTTTATTCATTTTCATTCAAGAGGTTGAGATTTCATGGTTTATAATCAACTATCAGAATTATGTTAACATGAGGTGACGTGGTGGCACAGTGAGTAGGACGTTTGCCTCACAGCTGGGTCAGTTGGCATTTCTGTGTGGAGTTTGCGTGTTCTTCCTGTGTTCGCGTGGGTTTTTTTTCCGGTTGCTCCGGTTTCCACCACAGTGCAAAGACATGTGGTATAGGTGAATTGGATATGTTTAAATTGTAGTGTATGTGTGTGAGTGAGTGTGTATGGATGTTTCCCAGTGATGGGTTGCAGCTGGAAGGGCACCCCCTGCATAGAACATGTGCTGGATAAGTTGGCGGTTCATTCGGCTTTGTTGATCCCAGATTAATGAAGGCACTGAGCAGAAAAGAAAAATTAATGAAAAAAAATTACCATGACAATGTTTCCCCAAAACACTTCTGTAGTTTATAGTCTTCCATTGTAACTGACTGTGTTTAACCGACAACACTTAAAGACAGATGTTTGACATTTTTGTATGCATTTTTAAGTGGACACTCAAGAGTCGTAGTATAATGCTGTACTGTAAGCAAAGTTGACCTTAGGTTCTTCAATCTACTTAGCCTTATATTACTTTAAAAATGGCATCTGATTCAAATCAACATCAAGACTGAGTGCAAATGACCCATAGTTATAGAAATTGTGGTTTCAGAATATTTACAGTACCTTCAGGATCTTCTAATTTTAGCCTTCACTCTTAAACATTACAATGTAACCTATAGTCTCAACATCAAAACTACACAAAGGTACCACTACAATGAACAGCATCTCTAGAAAAAAAGCTAATTTACTGAATGTAATATCTCAATATCTGAAGGATAGAACTATATCTGTCAGTTTGGGCAACTCCTCTTCATCTGTCATGCAATTAATTTGTGGGGTACCGCAAGGCTCAATATGGGTCCTGTTTTGTTCTCCCTTTACTTACTTCCATTAGGAAAAATTTTTGAAAAGCATGGCTTAAATTACCATCTATATGCTGATGACTCTAAAATCTACTTCCCTATAAAATCTAGGGATCAATTCTCCCTTCAGGCTTTGCTTAATTGTTTGGCTGATGTGAAGAGTTGGTTGGCAAATAATTTTCTCCAACTGAATGAAGATAAGTGCGAAATTATTGTTTTTGGCCAAAAAGGTTCAGACTCTAATAGCAATCTGTCATTGCTTCCTGGGAAAATACATTCCTCAGTAAAGAGTCTTGGTATCATCTTTGACTCTAAAATTTGATCGGCAAATTAATGCGGTTGTCAAAAATTGTTTTTTCTATTTTAGATATATTGCCAAGCTAAAGTCTATCCTCTCTTTCAGTGATTTGGAGAAAGTTGTTCATGCTTTTATTTCTTCTCGTCTGGACTATTGCAACGCATTGCATCTGGGTGTGAGTCAAGCCTCTCTCTCGCGACTGCAGCTGGTCCAGAACGCAGCTGCCAGGCTTTTAACAGGCACAAAAAAACGAGAGCACATTACACCTGTACTTGTTTCCCTACACTGGCTGCCAATCCAGTTTAGAATTCAGTACAAATTTCTGTTGTATGTTTTTAAATCCCTCCATGGCCTGGCCCCTGAGTATATCTCTGAGCTAATTATTATGCACCAACCTGTGAGATCTCTTCGCTCTATGGATCGTCTTTATTTGCAAGTTCCTAGATCACGCTTAAAATGTCGAGGTGATAGAGCTTTCTCGGTAGCAGCTCCAAGACTTTGGAACGATCTCCCACTCTCTTTAAGAACAGCTCAAACTTGAGACTTTTCAGAGGTCACTGAAAACACACTTATTTTCTTTAGCTTTTAATCATGTGATATGAGTTTATGTATTTTGGTTTTATGTATATTTTACATGCTTTTTTATTTGATTTTATGTACAGCACTTTGGTAATCCATTGTGATTTGTGAAAGTGCTATAGAAATAAAGTGAGTTGAGAGTTGAGTTGAGTTGAGTTGAATGAAAAATGTTTATACTCATTTTCTTCAGCTTAAACATGAAGCAACTACTCTGAACTCCAGTGAACTGAGTAGTATCGTAGCTCATACTGATCTGGACCGAATGTGGCAGAAGGACCTGAAGTCAATGCTTGTTGTGCGTTATCCTGGTTCAGCTGGAAGCCAACAAGTTCAGCAGGTCAGTCTTTGTTTGTTTGTAGGGCCTCACGATACTGCAAAATATGTGATATGTGATATTGTTGTTTGATAATATTTCTTTCTATATAACATCTTCCTATAGAAATGCTGTGCTTCACCTTTTTAAAAAAATAATGTAGATATGAAATGATCATACAAAATAAAGAGGTAATGCATATATTTTCTGATCTACCTAAATCTAAATCACTCTTTAAAGGGTCACAAAACACCAAAACACATTTTCTGAGATATTGACAGTCATAAATAGTATCCTATGATATTCCATGCTCCTATAAACACGATTAGGACACATAGATTTCACAAAAAATTTGAAAATTGGTTGTTTTTATGTTATTTCGAGCAAATTTGTTCTTCCGGTTTAAAATGAATTTTTGAAGCTGCATCACAGCTCATCATTGGCTCTTATCATTTACCTCTTTTGTCTCCCACCATTTGTTTTTATATTCAATTCTCTGGTCCGAGGCCATAGGTTCACTTTTGGGTGAATCTAGCCAATAGCATAAGAATGCATAATGTGGAGGTTGGGATAAATATAATAAGATAATAATAAACATTTTATATGTGATGCAACCCAGAAATGCTTTGCACATACATTTAATCTGTTACACCTCTCTGCAATAAAGTAGCACATATACTCTACTAATAATAATATCTGTAAATTGTGAGCATTGTGCAGCCCTATTTGTGTATGTAAGTGACTTAGCTTTTCTCTCTCTCTTTAGCATATTAAATCGACCCTAAGCTTGCTGAAAGCAGGCTGGGATGTGACTGAGGACTCCTTCTATGCTAATACTCCTTATGGGCAGCTTCCCTTCACCAACATTATTGCTACTCTCAACCCTACTGCAAAACGTCAGTTGGTGCTGGCCTGCCACTATGACTCCAAATACTACCCACCTCAATGGGATGGCCGTGAGTTTCTTGGGGCGATCGATTCTGCAGTGCCATGCTCTATGATTCTGGAACTTTCAAGAGCCCAAGATGATGAATTAAAGACCCTGAAGGTATGACTGTCTACATAGAAACTGAAGTGATTAATTCACTGAATGTTTGTTTGGTTATTATTTAATAAAAATCTGACCATTTGCTTACATTTTTTCTCTTATGGCATCAGTTTGATGGCTTGTATGAAATATGCTTAGCCACGGAACCATTAATAATCAAGTGAAAGATGAGATGAGCTCAATATTCTCTTTCAGTTGGAAATCATAATACTTCGTTCAATTTTGGGTAGGGCTCATCCCAATGCTCCAGTCCCTTCAAAAGTTTTACTCCCATTACTCTCTATTAAACCTTTATTTTCAACATTTTTAAAATATTTTAAACTTATTTGGATACTATATTTTGCTCGAACAATGTAAAAACCAAAGTTTAACAAAGTACAAGTATAAAATTCATGTGTTTTTTAAAATGTGTTCGCATGGTAGTGTCCATCAGTTGTAAAATTATTCCAAATTATTCATTCACATTCAGTTCCAAATTATTAATTGCAAAGGTCTCTTTAAAGTGGCCAGTTTTGAGCTCTTTAGGACTTTCGGTTCTGTTCACAGTGTGCCAAAAAGCAATCTTAGCTTTACATGGAGAACAAACATAATTCAAATTTGAGATCCTACATGGCTATATTAAGCAGTGGAGGACCTCTGCCTTGCTCGTGCACAACATATACAGCTGTTTAAGCAAAATCACTGAAGAATTTAGCCAGTTCCACATAATAATGACAAAGTCATGTCACAGCCTTTACAGTTGTATATATATATATATATATATATATATATATATATATATATATATATATATATTTGTGTATGTATATATATATATATATATATATATATATATATATATATATATAAATCTGTGGTGTAGTTGGGGTTATACACACTTATACTCCATATGCCTACTTTTTTCCATGTGCTGTTTCAGTATTATGACTTCTGAGGATCAATAATTTTGTATACCCTCGGTATACTCACTTGTTTTGCTCAGTAGAGTAATTTATGCTAATTTATGTGTATTTGCGTCCCCTTTAACTGTATACCAAATGTTATATATTGTAATAATGTTCGTTGTTGAGGGAAGAAGAAGACAGGGTCGGCGATTCAGGTAAGCAAATATTTTATTTATTATTAAATGCCACCACACAGGTAACGGGGTATGTGTGTGTGTGTGTGTGTGCTCTCTCCTCTCCCGGCTGCTCCTTCTCTTCTCCTTAAGAAGGGTGTCTCTCCGGCTCAATCACTAGAATAAACAGGTGTTATTTATTATTTCTGATTGGCCTGCTGATTAGCCGCCGGGCTCTGAGCATGCTCTCCCCCCTCATTGGGTGTTTGATCATGCTTACCTCTCCACATACCCCCACCGCCCGCCTCAGGCCGGGGAGCCGTCCGGCCTGCAGCCCTCCCCCCCCGCCCTAGAGAGGAAGTCGGCTACAGCCATCTGCACCCCCGGTCTGTGGATCACCTTGAATTTAAAAGGCTGTAATGCTAGATACCAACGGGTGATCCGCGCGTTGGTATCCTTCATACGGTGGAGCCACTGGAGAGGAGCATGATCTGAACAGAGGACGAATTCCCTGCCCAGGAGGTAATAACGAAGAGTGAGAACATCCCACCTTAACGCCAAACACTCCTTCTCTATGGTGCTGTACTTAGCCTCACTCTTACTGAGTTTGCGGCTAATGTACAGCACCGGCCGTTCCGCTCCTGCCACCTCCTGGGAGAGAACCGCCCCCAGACCCCGATCGGATGCGTCAGTCTGTAAAATAAAGGGGAGAGCAAAATCAGGAGCGTGCAATAGCGGCCCCCCGCAAAGTATAGATTTTACCTTTGAGAAGGCCTGTTGGCACTGCTCCGACCATTGGACGGTATCCGGTCCCTCCTTTTTAGTGAGATCGGTCAATGAGCTGACAAGGGCCGAATAATTAGGGACAAAACGCCTATAATATCCTGCCAGCCCCAAAAACTGTCTCACCTCCTTTTTGGTCTTAGGTCTCGGACAGGTTGCAATAGCTGCAGTCTTATCAATTTGGGGCTGCACCTGCCCGTGACCTAAGTGGAAGCCCAGATACCTTACCTCCACTCGCCCAATTGCGCACTTCCGTGGGTTGGCCGTGAGCCCGGCCCGTCTCAGCGCTGACAATACCGCCCTCAAATGTTGCATATGCCGCTGCCAGTCATTACTGTAAATGATGATGTCATCTAAATAAGCAGCGGCATATGCTGCGTGAGGGCCGAGTATTTTATCCATCAGGCGCTGAAACGTCGCCGGTGCCCCAAACAGCCCGAACGGAAGCGTCACAAATTGGTGTAATCCGAACGGCGTAGTGAAGGCTGTTTTTTCGCGGGATATTGGAGATAAGGGGATCTGCCAATATCCCTTCGTTAAATCCAATGTCGAGTAATACCGAGCAGCACCTAACGTCGAATTTCGACACAGCATTCACCTTGCGATAATCCACACAGAACCGGACCGAGCCGTCCGTCTTAGGTACCAAGACAATCGGGCTGGCCCAGTCGCTGTGGGATTCTTCTACTACTCCCATTTTCAACATATTACTCAATTCTTCCTGAATCACTTTTTTCTTGTGTTCAGGCAGGCGATACGGCCGGGTCCTAACGACCACGCCCGGTTCGGTCTCGATGTGGTGCTGAATTAAATTAGTTCGACCGGGTAGGGTGAGAACACGTCAGAATACTCTCGTTGAAGGTGTCGGATATCGATGAGCTGGCTAGCCGAGAGATGATCGCCCCCGGTGACCAGAGCGCCCGGCCGCTGTCGGCCGGTGCTCTCTGGCCCCAGGTCATCCTCATTTGTAACCAGCGTAGCCAGCATCACCTCCTCCGGCTCCCTCCACTGTTTTAACAGATTAATATGATATATTTGACGTGAACCAGCCCTATCCGAACGAACTACCTCATAATCGAGATCGCTGACTCGTCGTGTGACCACAAACGGCCCTTGCCACTTGGCGAGTAATTTAGAGCTGGAAGTGGGTAGCAGTACAAGTACTTTATCTCCCTGTGAAAATTTACGGAGTTTAGTGCCCTTATCATATCGCCGGCGTTGGTCATCCTGGGCCTTAAGCAAATTCTCTGTAGAGAGCCGCCCCAGTGTGTGGAGTTTTGCTCTAAGGTCCAGAATATATTGAATTTCATTTTTACTATTAGAAGGCTCGTCCTCCCAAGCCTCTCTAACAACATCCAAAACCCCTCTGGGCTGTCTGCCATAGAGAAGCTCGAAGGGGGAAAACCCCGTGGAGGCTTGGGGAACCTCCCGCACAGCGAATAATAAGGGCTCCAACCACTTATCCCAATTTTTCGCGTCCTCGTGAACGAATTTACGGATCATTGATTTAAGCGTGCGATTAAATCTTTCCACCAGCCCGTCTGTTTGTGGGTGATAGACGCTGGTGCGAATAGATTTAATGCCCAATAATCCGTAAAGCTCGCGCATCGTGCGTGACATGAACGCGGTGCCTTGATCAGTGAGAATCTCCTTGGGGATTCCCACACGGGAGATGAGGCGAAACAGAGCCTCCGCAACGCTCTTTGCTGAGATATTACGGAGCGCGACTGCTTCCGGGTATCGGGTTGCATAATCCACCAGAACTAATGCAAACCGATGCCCGCGTGCGGATCGCTCTAATGGCCCGATGAGATCCATACCAATTCTCTCGAAGGGGATCTCCATAATCGGTAAAGGGCACAACGGCGCTTTTGGGGTGGCCGGTGGATTTACCAGCTGACATTCACTGCACGCAGCGCACCATCTGCTGACGTCACCGTGAATGCCCGGCCAAAAGAATCGGGTCATGAGGCGATTTAGTGTGGCCGCCTGACCTAAATGTCCGGCCATAGGATTAGAATGAGCCGCCTGAAAAAGCATTTCCCGGCGGCTCTTTGGTACTAATAACTGGGTTGTATTTTCTTTTGTCTGAGTGTCTTGGGTCACTCGATACACCCTATCATTAATAACCGCAAAATACGGATAGGAGAGGGGTCGATCAGGCTGGAGGATTTTCCCATCAATAACCTGCACTCTTTCGAGTGCATGTTTTAGTGTATCATCACGCGACTGCTCAAGGGGAAAGTCTTTACACCGGGAAATTCCCAGCCCTTCCCCTGTGTCAGCGCGTGACGTCACTGCTTGGGATTCCCCCAGCTGAGCGTCACGTCCCCTATCCAGCGATTTCTTCTTCCAAGAAGCACCCGCACATAAAACTCCCAATAATCTATTAAATCCAGGCCAATTAGTTCCCAGAATTAGCGGGTGTTTGAGGTGCGGGTTAACTGCTACCTCTACTCTATGCTTTTTCCCCCGGAATTGAATGTCTATTGCCGTTAGCGGGTAGTGAATTATATCCCCGTGCACACACCTTACCCTTACCGTGCGGCTAGTATCCAATGCCGGGTCTTGAAGCAGGCTTTGGTGGATGGAGGTCTGGTTACACCCCGAATCCACCAAAGCTTGATACGTACCCCCTTTCATACTCACAGGTATCCGGTATAGCCCGTCGCGACCGGGGGCGATGACTGGCGCGGCGGGTACGCGGATCAACGCACTCACCTCCTTTGTTGAGCAACTTTTTAGTGCGCTATCCTCGCGCCCCGGGCGCCAATGCATCGGCCCAGACCTTCCCACTATACCCCCGGGGCCAGCAGGACCAACCGATTGAACCGGAGAGAGACCTGACGCTGTTTTAGAAGCAGCCAGGGGTCGAAACTCCGCCCCTCCGTCCTGATAGGCGCACCCCTTCAGCGAGACCGGCTGCGGACCCGCCTTTGCGCACTGCTGTCTGGGTGCTGGTGTGGGCGGTCTCCGCACTCTGGGCCTGGGAACAGGACGGGAGAGAGAGAGAGACAGAGAAAGAGGGGGAGAAGAGAGAGAGGTTATCTCGCCGACCCTGGACCTCGCCACCAGGTGATCCTCCGCCAGCTGGATGGCCATTTCCAGATCGTTCGGCCGGTGGCACTGGACCCACTCCGATGTTCGGGAGGGGAGGCGG